GCTTGAACTTTTACATGGCTGCATGTTGGAGGAAAAACTCTGCAGCAGGTGTATTCACCAGCAGTTCTGATTCGCAGACAGAGTTCCTATTTCTATGTCAATATTGTTGCCAGGAGATTGGAGCAGTTCTCAGCTGGGGATCGTTATGAGTAACATTGCGACATGCAGAGTAGGAATGTGCCTTTCATCTGCGGGGAGCTTGTCCTGCATGGATAGTGGCTCTCGACTCTTCTTGTCCACCAGTTGTTTTAGCACACGTCTGTTCTGGCACGCTTTTTCATTCATTTTTAAAAGAGTGGATTTGTGTACGATTACATATGAACAGCAAGCTCATTCAGCTCCAGTCTAATTATGAGTGTTCTGGAGAATATATCAAGACCCCTTCATTGCTAGCAAATGAAAAGAAAACAAATAACAGCTTGTAGCACTTATGAGAAGATAGCGAGAATATTAAGAATGCAGGGTTACGTGTTTTTGCTGGGAGATAGCTGCAATGTCTGTCAATCAAGAGACTGTGTGAACAGAAAAAAAACAAAACCAGAAGTTTCGAAGTGCTTGTTGACAAGGGGTGGCGTACAACTTGGCAACTCACTACAAAGGGGCATGATCTGTCTCTTAGACCAGTGTTTTTCAACCACTGTGCCTCGGAACACTAGTGTGCTGCAAGTGATCGTCAGGTGTGCCGTAGAAAATCATCCTATTTCACCTAATTGGTCTAAAAAAATGCACTTTTTGAGTGTCTGCTGTACTAGTGACTGGTGGAGTAATCATGTAATAATTCCTTATGACTAGATTTTGTACAGAATTTTGTATATTGAAGTGGACATGTTGAGTCCAATTTGAAAGAAGAAATATAAAATATGATAAAAATAATTTTTTGTGTTATTTGATTCCTATTCAAGACACTTAAGATAAGAATAAGATAAGAATAACTATAGTGTTATTATAGGCGGCTACAGATTTGTTTAACATTTTTGGTTGGTGGTGTGCCTTGTGATTTTTTCAATGAAAAAATGTACCTTGGGTTGAAAAAGGTTGAGAAAACACTGTCTTAGACACAAAACAATTGGCTGTGGGTTTCTATCCATATCCTCCACCAAACGAGGTCCTACCTGGACCTGCTGCTGACACGGTCTGTGATGCGATTAGCTCATCATTGCCAGACTACACACTTAACACATTCTTAGCAACTTTTGGGAATATTGACCTCTTCTCCCTCTCTTTTACTCTTCCGGGACTCAATTAAACGCTCCACTAGAGAAATAAAAAAACCTGGATTTATTCTGGTCTACCCGGCTTCCATTTGTGGAAAATGCCATAATATCCTCTGTTTTTTCTCATCTCCAGCTACGTATCCATTTTTTGTTGTAACCTGTAGATATGATTTAAAGTAGTGGTTTCAGAAAGGGAAAGAAATTAGCTGGGATGCTTTGAGATCCTTTATTAGCCACCTGGTGATTGTATAAATTAGTTTTCTGTATATAACATGCTTTGATGACTTTTCACCGGAAACAATCTAAAAGCTACCATGCCAGAAATTAAGTTACTGATGTGTGTAGATAGACACTTAAAGATTTATCTTAAAGAAACATCTAGTTGTGACATAGTAAAGACTAGACAATCATTCTTAGAAAAACATGTCGTCATTAACTAAAGTTATGTCAGGCTGTTAAAAACTGTTGAAGAAGCTTGAAGGTAGAAGTCAGAAGAGAGTTTCAATGCTGTTCAGACTGCTAACATTAAGAAAAACATAAAATTAGACGCTAAACAATGTCTGATGCTTCATTATTCTGATATTGAGTCTCTTTGCTGTCCACATATCGGCAGGCATGAAAACTTTGCGATCATAACACAAATAAACGTGAGGGCATAAAGTGATCAACGTCAACATTATCATAGATTTCCTTAGTTCCCCTTAGTAGCCTGTTAAATTCTAAATAGAATTTAAGATTCTGCTCCTCAAATATTAAGCTCTGCACAACCAAGGTCCACCAAATCTTAAAAACCTCATAATTAGAAACTTTGCTCTCATAATGCAGATCTACTTATGATTGCTGGAGTTTTTAAAATTATAATATCTTCAGTTTCCAGGCCTCTCTTATGGAATTACCTTTAAGATGAACATCCTATCGTTATATTGCCATTGGCCTAAACTCCTGGGGGACTTCCACTGATGCTCCTTTCCTAACCATGTTCTTTTTGCCCCTTTTCCTTCCTGTACATGAGATAAGTTGTTGTAAATAACTTTCTCCTTCTCTTCAGGTCTCCTGAGCTGCTGTAGAGATGTTTGTTGTCCCTCTTTCACTGCCTTCTCAAACCCCAGCTGGTCGAGTCAGATTCCTTCCTTAGTCTCTTTCTGCCAGAGGTCTCTTCCTGTGGAAGGGGAGTGTTTTTGTTTCCACTGTTGTCTCATGCATGCTCAGGATTGGATTACAGAGCAATTTTGAACAATCTGCTGAATTTGTTAATTGACAACCTTTTTTTTTATTGACCGTACGACTTGGAGGTATTTGGAGCTTCAAAGGATTAGATTTTGATTTCTTACAATGAAATGAATCTATTTTTGATGAGGCTGGGTTTGTCTTTTGATGTGATTTGGTTCCCAATTTAAAAAAAATTAAAGATTCAATTGAAAGTACAGATGCAGAATAAGAATACAATTAGCTTATAGGTATTTAATTTTAAGAAAAGAGAAAGGGAAAACCGACTTGGTGGTTTTGTCTGAAGTTAAAAACAAACTCTCCACAAAAATAACTGGTATCATTGTTTTGTGTGGTAGATATGATATGTATTTGATATATAATGTCAAAATAGCTGTTTCTTGTTTAGATAAATAAACATATTCTTGAAAAAGCAAAAGAGGAATTGCTTGTGACATAGATGTGACCTTTCAAAAACAGAAAGGTCTTGCTTGAAGTGTCATAAAAACATGGGATTTTGTTCAGCTCTGCGAAATAACGGACCTTTTCGGATACAGAAACACAAACTAGCCATCGTGCACTTGTCTGACACGATGACAGCTTTTCCATTCAAACGTAACCACTGAAAGTCCCAACTAGAAAAGAAAAACTTTTTCTGTTTGTTCGAGCATCTCTGGATAATTATTCATACGTTTGGGTAGCTACCGGGTTAAAAGTACATCTCATGCCCTTCCATAGTTAACAGAACATTAAAATGAGTTACAGTGTACCTCAGTTTAGGATTGACAATGTATAATGCATCTTGTTTCGATGCTATCGATCCGACCTTTATGCTACATTTGCTCCACCAATGTTTGAGTACTTAAATTAGACATGAAAAAAATCTTATCGAAAAGATGCATTCAATAATTTCAATAACCATGGTCACGCATAACAGATGAGAAACTTCATCCTGTTGCAAAGATTGAAAAAGCCTAAGATCTCAAACCAGATATTTACACACCATTTTTCCTGAACGTCCACTAAGAGTTACTTTTGAAATAGTGTGACCATTTCTAGCAGAGGAGGACAAGCGGCCACCTCTCAATTGAAAGATTTGAATTGCTATGATTCCTGTATATATTTATATGTATAGGTATAAATAAAATCCCATTATTTAAAACACATCCTTGCTAAATTACATAGAATAAGATGAAAAAATAGGACATTAAGTAATTTATGTAATCTAAATTATAAAAAGAGACACATTTAATGTTTTGATGGACTTAATTTCCATTTCAGACCAAACATGTTGTAGGTAATGTTGGTTTTGAAGATCATAACCTATAAAGTTTAAATAACTGATATCATTTGTAAGTATTGTTTTCAATTACTTTGTAATATTTACCCAATCTCAAATAAAGCCACAGGATTGATTGATTAGATCATTATTCATCTTATTCACCTTTGTATACAAGAGTTTGTACTCACCTTGAGAAGCAATCAGGGCTAGATAGGCCACTGATCAGTTCACCAAAGTATAGTTCTGGGGTCTCCAAAGCAGAAAAGTTCCAAAGGCAAGTCGCCTAAATCCTTAAAGAATGTGGTTTAAAATCCAAAGGGCTGCCGAGCAAAAAGTGATAAAAGTGTCCCTTCAAATGATATTTCTTGGTGCGGGAGCTGGACTGAGTCTGTTAGTGTACAGCACAGTGCAGATTGAAGCTGTCGGGTGAGAATGATTCAATCGGTCACATTACTCTGCATGGAGCCTATTAGTGCTCTCAGAGGACAGAGGATAGACGTCTGTGTGTGTGTGTGTGTGGGTGTGTATGTGTGTCCATGTGCAAGAGTGGAGGGACACCATGACAGTTCATTCAAGGAGTGTTGTTTGTCAGTGCTTGATGTCCCGTTCATTGTGTTGAACTGGATTTCCTGATAGGGTGGTTTATATCCAAGAGTAGAAGTGTGTATACATT